ATGAGAGGTGGGGGGGGGGGGGGACATGGCCTTTTTAAAAATGGAGTGTTTTTATCCTTGCCCAGAGAGGCCTTGGATGAAAATTAATGAGTGGGGTGGCATGAAAGACATGGGCCGAAAGGTGACGGACACAGGGCAGCTCTGGCAAAATTCAGTGTGTCTCCTGGAATCCTCCACGGGGCTCCTTTGGGATGATAGGCTGCATACCTTCACGCTTCTACTCTAAGCGGGTAACGCCTTGAGAGGAAGGGCCCCAAATACGTCCAAGAACACAGAGGGGAAGGAGTCATGACGATGCTTGCAATAATCGTGGCTGACCCGAGTGAGGGCTTACCATGTGCTGGCCCTGCACTGTGTCTTGCACCAGCTGAACCACTTGCATTGTATCTTTAAATCCTAGCTTAGGAAGCAGTATATTAGATCCCTTCCTGACTAAAGGAAAAGAAAATCAGTTCAAACCACCTTAGGCGGAAAAAGAGAATTTATCGATGCAGGTAACTGAAAAATGCAGTAGTAGGTATTAGATTCTATGGCTGGATGCAGGTACTCCAGTGGTACTGTCAGAAATGCATCTCTTTCTGCCTCTCAAAATGAAACTGCCTCTGTCCTAGTAGTCCCAAGGAAAGCCCCAGAAATATCTCTCAGTGGCCTACTTAGGTCACATACTCAACCTCAAACCAATCACTGTGACTCCGATTGGGCAGACCTGGTCCATAGCTCTGCCCATGAGGCCAGACCACTTGGACTCAGAAGTGGGGAGGGGTGATTCCCTAATGGAAGAGGGAGGCACTGTTACAGAAAAGAGGAGGATGATGTTGATCAACCCATACCCCCCAAAAGGTATCTACTATAAGTAGATACTAAGAATTCCTCTATTTTAGAGATGAGAAAACTGAGGCACAGAAATAATGTCAGTTGTTTCAGGTCACACAGACAGTGATTATTAGAATAGGGATTCGAACCCAGGCTGTCTGACTCCAGACCTTAAACCCCAGCTCACCTGGGAGTGGCCTGTGTTGCTCAGAAGAGAATTCACCCACCCCATCCCACATTTAGGATGAGGATAGTTCCCGTCATCTATCATACAAACTGTGAACACCTAGAGATTCGGAGACCCAGATTCAGGCAACCCAGAACTGACAGGGGATGGTTATGCCCTCCAGTTGCTCTCATGATGTCCTCATCTGCATCCTGAAATTCCCTAGTCTGCCTTAACACCTCCTAAGAGTCAGGAGGGAAAAAAGAGTCCCAGATGCTTGAAGATGAGTCATTCCCAGTTCAGAGTTGCTTGCCTGCACCAGCTCCCTGTGAGGTGTAAGGGAGAACGAGAGGGAAAGGGGGAGTGCTTAGTGCTTCCTGGGAGGGCACATTTGTGCCACTCCCCTGGCATCCTTTAGGAGGGTGGTTGGACATGCAAGAGTCCTTCTTTGGGGGCCAAACCAGGAGCCAGAACCTGCAGTGTAGGCAGATTTCTTTAGCATTGTCCCAGTAAATTACAGCCCCATTACTCTGCAGTTTATAGAGACCTCAGCGGATCAGCTCATAATAAATGGGAGTGCGACTTGCAGGGGTCACAGTACCAAAGCTGCCTTTGGGTCATTTGGTGTTTTTAAATTAGGGCTTTGTGCCTCTCCCGGGGCCCGAGCCGCCTTCGGAAATGATTAACAGCGGGGCTGGGTGCGTTCGCCAAACAGCAAGCAGCCGTGAAGTCATCCCAGTTAATAGACGGGAGCCGGTGTGATTCATAAATAACCACGTGGATTAGAGACTAAATGATACTGATAAAAGTGTGAGGAAGTGCTTCTAGCCCCTTCTTACTCAGGGAGGTGAGAAGCTTCCATGAACACTCTTTAGAGGACTGGGTACCCTCATCCTTCTGTCCTGGCTGCCTAAGCTTCAAGGAAAGCTTTCACACTGCCATTCAGGGAGACCAGGGATCTGGGG